GTGAGTGTAGTCCTGAGAAGGACTGTTGTCGGTGGCAGTGACTGACGTTCTACTGTTCTACTGACAACAATCACTCACTTGACTCTGATGATGACTTCCGCACAGGTTGTCGAAACGTCAGTCACTGCCACCGACAACAGTCCTTCTCAGGACTACACTCACGCGGACGATCAGACTACACCTTCACATTGGCTTTTAGTTCTATCATAGCACATTCCAATTACAATTATTCTGGGTAATCATTTATCCACAAGTCCTGCACAGTGTCACTTAGATTTAGACTGATAGTACAGTCATGTACTTAACCATTTAACTCCAAAGATCTCAATAGTAATTCTCGTTACTATCTGCCATACAATTCTTTATAATGTCAGATTGGAGAATTTGTTATTGAATCACCTAATAATTGCTGAATTGATATTTATCTTTATTCTCGTCACGTGTCTGCTTGATATTGTATTGGTATTGTAAGGAGAAATTCTGTCTTGGTCACTCATGGGGGGGGATGAAGGGTTAAGGGATGTGTCTGAGAGTTAAGTGAACTTTAATTTTTAAGCGATTTTAGTTTGTTATTGTACTTTATCGGCTAATTTTTTAACACATTTTGTTTTATATTCTTAGTAAATGGATTGTGATCATTATGTCATGTAGCATGAGCTATATAAGTTTGTGAATTGAAATTATTAAATAAATATTATTATTATTATTATTATTATTATTATTATACATTTGGGCGACAAAGATGGCTTGAATGGGTCAGAAACTGATGCTACACTGTATATTGTAGTACAGTTTGAGCTGTCTGTTAACCTTTTTTTTTGCTTGAAATGTTGTGACCAGGTGGACTGGAGACAGAAAAAATGTATCCTTATGAAGGAGCTGATGAGAAATGCAAGTTTGCAAAGTCAGAAGCTGTTGTGTACATCAATGGGTCTGTTGCGATATCTAAAGACGAAAATGGTGAGTCAGGGTTTCTGCAGTTGTCTATGTAACATCTTCTTCTGGTTAGCGACAGGAACCCCATACTTTACTTCCTAATTTTGAATGACATTTTAAATCCTTCTTTATTGACTATGGAGTTTCATCCTCTTTGAATGTTTAGCAGTCAGGGTCACAATTATGGAAACATTTTGCCTCATTCATTTATGTTTTAATTTACAATGAATTTTCAGGTGAAAATGGTTTGAAAGAAGTTTAAGTTATTTTTGTTTTTGTTTGGTTGCTTTTTCCCAATTGTCCTTTAACAGACAACTACTCAATTCAGGCTGGGTGGAGTTTGTTTTTTTTTTTTTTTATTTGAAATCATTTTGAACTTAAAAAAACATAGGCAATGCTTACTTTGTAGTTTAGTAGTTGAAGCTACAGATAAGTACATTATTTTATATACTATTTCATAATAAAGAGACGTTTAATACAATCAGTTTGCAAGTTTGTGCAGGTGGTTTTACTTTTTAAAATAATAATGTTGGCATGGGCCAACTTGTCAAAGGTTTGTTCTACATTTAATAACCTTCCAAATGATTTAATTATTTTCCAGAAATGGCTGCATGGCTGGTGAAGAATGGACCAATATCCATTGGAATTAATGCAAACATGATGCAGGTAAATTAAAGCTCATACTTCAAACTCTTCTTATTATGAAAGTTTTCCACAATACAATACTTAATTTAACATAGAGTTTACACTTACAGTGTAGCTTAATCAGCTAGTTTACAGTTAATCCACAGTCTAAGGATTTACGAAAAAAACTACAAACTAAAAATGTACAACAATTCATCAAATAAGCAAAAAAAAAACAAAAAACCAGAACCCCAAAAACTGATAATTTGACTTTGTAAGATTGCACAAAGAATTATTCAATAAACAATTGTGCTTTAGTAGGGCATTTGGACACAACTTTGGTCTGGGG